GGAAAAGAAGGAGAAGAAGGAGAAATGAGGGGAAGAAGGAGAAGAAGATAAAACAAATGAAATAATAACAAACAAAAGAATGGAGAGCTATGTGCATGTATGGAAGCTACAAATATGTTTTCGGCTTCGAGGACAGTCGATTCATAAATGGAATATTATTATTCTTGATGACAATAAGTTTGATGGCGATAAAATATATGTCTTTATAGTAATGATTATCAACTCACTCATCATTATCATTATCATCATCACCATCACCACCACCATCATTAACATCATCATTATAATCATCATCATCATCCGCATCATCATCATTAATAACTTGAATTTAATAGAGATGAATATGGCAACATATGTTTATTATCATGAAGTATTCATGAACAACAATTATTGCCAAGTAAAGTTTGTTTCAGGTAAGCAAACATTTTTCTAGTAGAAGAGAAATCAGCAACCTAAATCCCATTTATATAATCCAGTGTATTCTAAAATCCAATATATAGTTTATGTATATATTTAGAGAGAGAGAGAGAGAGAGAGAGAGAGAGAGAGAGAGAGAGAGAGAGAGAGAGAGAGAGAGAGAGAGAGTTATGTATGGTTACGATAACTATTGCAATATAACGTTTTTCGTAACGCGAAAGAGAACAAAACAAGGGAAGGAGAGAGAGAGAGAGATGGGAGGGAGGGAGAGAAAGAAAGACAAACAAATTGGCAGCAGAAAAAGAGAGAGAAACAGAGACAGAGAGAGAGAGAGAGAGAGAGAGAGAGAGAGAGAGAGAAGGCGAAAAGGAAAGAGAAATACGGACGGGACTGAGACTCACATATTCTGACAAAGAATGGCTGTGATCGATAACCCAAAAGAAAATGGGAGGTTTGAGAAATCAAATAAATCAATACCAAAAGAAAAACAAAAAAAGCAAACATTCCCAGCAAACATCGCTTTGTTTTAAAGCTTATCTGCCATAGTTTACAGGAGGGATTAGACCGCCCTACAAGGTCACTGGACATGTGGTTATCTCATCAACTCAGCTCTCAGTAAACATAAGAAAAAGAGGATCATGGGGGACCAATGGTCACCGATTAAGCATTGTTTGTTATATAGAGGGCGCAAGTAGCTACAAGTAGTGCAGTGGGCCTTTAAGTCCAGATATGGTGAAATCTCTCTCCAAGAATAAAAACAGGTAAGCAATGGTCAATTTCTATGAAGAAATTACAAATGCATAAAGCGGAAGACAGACATTATTTAGTAATTCTTTTATTAAATGTCATATAAAGCGGGGAATTTGGAAATTATGTAGGTTGGTATGGTATCCTTGAATGGAAATCTATTTTGGGGGGCTCAGTGGAAAATAAGTGAAACCGGGGTCGACCTGGAAAATGTATTTAATCTGACTTTGGTTCGCCCACTTAATGGCGTTATCATAAGCGCGTGCATTTAAACTCATTACCCACTCAGCAGCAATGCACGTCGAGTATTCGTTAATTGGTAGGCACCACAATGTTTCTTCCCCTATTTTCAGCATTTAGAAAGTCAATTATGAACAATGCAGTGATTCGATTTGCAGGTCCTCAAACCAGCTCGCGCTGATAATGGAATCTGTTCGTACAGTGCACGCGTTGCCTTTGCTTTTCCCTTCAATTCTTTTGCGCGGGGGAAAAAAATCTTCAAAAAAAAAAAGGGCGAACTGAATGCAACGACTCATCCGATAATAATGCTTTTATTCCCGACGTACATTTGAGGCTAAATTCAATTATTATTTCTCGTTCGAGTCGATGAGTAGATATAAAACCCGGATGAATGGAGAGTAATGGCGTTTTGTTCCTTTTCCTTTTTCCATTCCGCTTACTGGAATAATAATTAAAATCTCTACGCGTCACGCATTATTCCCAATTAGATCATCTGAGCGGAAAATTAGTCAGGGCGAGCCCATTATCTAATAAAAACAAGATTCTCGAGAATGGGAAAATGTAGGAGAGATACTAATTTGATTCTAACTGCTTTCAGCCATTCAATAAACACAGCATGTATGCCTATGATATCATTTAGGCGACGCTTGTGAACACCAGATCTGACAAAAATATATTAGCGATATACCAGTTGGGTTCTTAGAAAGATATTCGTTTTAAAATAAACCAGTAATTGGAGAGGTTGGACGTTATCATATTTGAGAAATTATGATTTGATACATGAGAATGATGACAGCGTACAGATTTGATAAAATTAGTACGCATTGTCATGGACATGGTATCAATTTCGGGCCTGAATTTTGTGGCTAACTATGCTTCTGTTGCTTCACTTTTAAAACTCATTTTCGGCTTTTTCACAAGGTGGTTTGTTCATAAGATTTTAGAAAGACACTGAACTACACTTCCAACGACCGATGGGGCCCATGAGAATTGGCTTTTGTTGCTTCATGTGTTTATCATGTAAATCTTCAATAGTACTATGATTTATTGTTGTATATTGCACAAAAATGCATAGTTATAATGACAAGAGTGTCAATAATTATGCTCACTATTTAAGGACAAACAAAATGTAAAAGCGTGGTTTTCTGATTTAAAACTGATCAATATGGACCTCGGTTAATACGGAAAATGTTAAAAAGATCATTTGTACCTGTCATAGGCCTACATGTTTCAACATGAATGGATGGGGGAGGGGGGAGGGGGGGGGGGTAGCTGAATTAGCATACAAGACAGTAGAAATATAAAAAAAACATATCTGGACGAATCAGTTTAATATACATGTATCATTACATCAAGTGATCAAACAATCTAACAAATTTCCTAAACACATATTCCGTCAGAAGTGAATGTTATTGAGAAATATTCAGTGTAATTCGTTGTAAAGGTCAAGATTTACCCTTGGTTTATTTTTCTCAGTACATTGAACATAAGACACTTTGCAGACGTGAAGGAAGCAATTAACTGTAAAAGGCTGGTATAATTAGAAGTCTAGGGCACCTACAATTATTATGCTGGAAGCACGATCTTTAAAAAACTAAAAAAACTAATCGTACTGTATAATGATAGTACATTGCTAAGTAAACGCATAATATTGACATGGTCTATAATTATGCCTGTTAGAACACAACTGTAATAATGGCACACACAAAGTTTTCTTCTTTGTCATTCTCCCTATTTATCTTTATCCATTCTAATATACACATTTATTTTATCATGGCAGTGCATAGTTAGATATCATTGATATTTTTAAAAGTAGCACACAAGTATGGATTTAGTTTAAGAATACATTTATACGATTCTCCTTTGCCTGTGTATTAGATGAGCAAATGGCGTATTTTGTTAATACGCCTGAAATGGGCTATCTCATTTATGTATGTAATTGTATGTTGTGATGATTTTATACGGAAATAAAAACAAACAAAACAAACATGGTTGGCGCTGTCTGCGATTATGGATGGTGGAGAAGGAAAGGGGGGAAAATCAGAGACAGAAAATAAAGAGAAAGAGGGGATGGATTAGAAGGGGAAGGAAAATAAAAGTTAGTGATAAAGAGAGAGAGAGAGAGAGAGAGAGAGAGAGAGAGAGAGAGAGAGAGAGAGAGAAGGCGTTGGGAGTGATGATGAGAGAGAAATAAGGGGTGGGGTGGGAGGAAGAGAGAGAGAGAGAGAGAGAGGGGAAGGTAGAGAGGAGAGAGTGGTGAGAGGATAGGGGAGGAGGGAGGGAGAGAGAGAGAGAGAGAGAGAGAGAGAGAGAGAGAGAGAGAGAGAGAGGATAGAGAGGAGAGAGTGGTGAGAGGAGGGGGAGGAGAAAGGGAGGGACAGATCTAGCGCGCGCGCGGAGGAAACGGTTTATCATTTATCTTTATCGGTGATTCTGGCTTCTGATGCATCTTGTATGGGGGCGCCCTTCCCGCCGAATGCCGAATGTTGTTTCTGAGTAGAATCTGTCGTTTTTACGCAGTGTGCCATGAAGCCTGTCAAATATCATCGTATTCACTCCAAAATTACAATGGAAGTACCTGCAAAGAAACAAAATATATAGATTCAGTTCAATGACCTAGCCTTGGAAAGAATCAATATCTTATTAAACGTATGTCAGCTACGCTACCTGGTAGATAAGGATTTTGAAAAATGGCTGAAAATATTACATAATAAAGAAAAAAAAAGAATCAATACCTATGGTGGTCGTCATGGAAGATGACACTTGGTTGCCATGGTAACATAGAGTGTATATCGATGCCAGAATGAGACAGGATGCCGTGATATACTCCATACACCAACCAGCAGAGATAAACACCTAGAAAAATAAAATAATGATAATGTAAATGATTATTTGAATAGTAACATTTATATGGCTTTAAAAATGTTTCTCAGCGCTGTACTATTATTACCCCGGCATTAGCCGAGCTACCCTAATAAGACACACTGGCATTCGATGAAATACTTCTTAGCGGGTACCCATTCACATCACCTGGGTGGAGAGTGGCCAATCTAGATTAATGCCTTCGTAAAGGACATTAATGTCGTGGCGGGACTCGAACCGTGAACCATGTGATCCACAGTCCGCTGACGTATCCACTAAACAACGACACCTCTATCAATTAATGAATAAACTATTATTATGTATTATTATACAACAAGATATACAACGAGAAATAAAACCAAAAAATAGAGCCTCTACAGCGACAGCAGTAGTCTATTTCCTGACAGTGGTGCAGCGCCAGTCTTCCCACTGAAGAGGCACCGTGGGTGGTCTTAGTCGCAAAAAAATGCAACTTCTTTTTTGTCCTTTACTCCTTCTCTATTTCCCCCCCCCCCTTTTTTCTTTCTTCCTTCACAGACCCCAAGAAAATAAGAAACATTCGATAGAAGGCATCGCAATTTGCAATACAATTAACTTTTTCTAAAGGAAGCCCCAACATAATTATAGCACACAGTTAGGACCAATCAAAAAGCTACACTGAATGGCACTCTCAAGAATTAGCCAATCAGATCAAGCTATCAATACTTGATCGCAAAATGGTGCATTCTGATTGGCTAATTCTGGAACGTCACGATCACGCAATAGAGTTGATTACCTGTGTGCAACGGGACCAGGAAGATGGGTATCTCGAGGAGAAACTGAAAGATCACAAATTCATACGGATGCATGGCAGCAGCTGACCACGGGGTTGGAGCCTTGAAGCGATGATGAAGCTTGTGATACCGACGATAAAAAATAGGATGGTGCATCATTCGATGTGTGTAATACGTCGAAGCTTCGTTGTACACATAAAAGCCAGGGACGGAGAGAAGAAAGTAAACCCACCCGTAGTCTTTGATGTTGTAATAAAGTTTGGTCTCCCCTCCGTTCATGATGTAGGTTACTAAAATTCCTGTTGAGAAAGAAGCATCAATTAATTTTTTTTTTTAAATCTGAATTTGGACAGAAAATTCCGTCTGCTTGATCAATGTCGGAGGAGTTTTTTTGGTGGTCAAACCCTTGTTTGTCTTTTGACATTTTCCTCCAAGAGAGGAGGAGAGTGGTTCGGGGAAGCCAGACGTAGTTTCAGCCATTTATAATTATCCCTGAACAAAATATACTGATTGTTTCACGGTCTACTCTGAAATCAGATATATGGATTCTTTTTTCATTGTCTTTTACAAAGTAAGAATATGCTAATTCAACTTATTTTCATAGAATTTTGTTATTCTTTCAGATTTTCTTGTTTTAAATGAAATGACTATCACCCTTACCCGATGAAAGTGCACCAATTGCCATGTTAAACGATCCCAACCAGAATTCTAGTCTATCATCAACAGGTCGTAAGAACCGATCCGGTTGGCATTTCCAGTCTGCTGCCCTCTCTCGACGTTGGATGTAGTAGTACCATTTCAAGTAGCCACCGACCCCGTAGAAGATGAGAAAAGCTCCAGCGAAAGATAGGGGAAGATAAGATTCTACATCCTGATTAAAAAAAAGACAAATAAAATATTAATGATATGAAGTATTACTGGGTTGCCTGCATTTCATAGTTCAAAATTAAGTGTAAGAGGAATATTAGAAACGTTTCTATTTGTAGCTTGAAAATTCAATTTCCCTTTCGGGAATATAGGCCCAATTAAACTTTATGAACGTGGAATAAAGATAATCGAATGAAAACAATTTTTCTTAAATTCGAAAAGTGCGTAGATTTAGTTAGCTCATCGTCAAATGCAAACAAAATGGATCGAACCATCATGACTAAGGGTACGTTTAATGCTCAGATTTTTCTGGCCAGAATGAGGCATTTGTTACGCGTTTAGTTCAAAGCACGGTTGCGTCCTCACTCATTTTTGTAGAATCACAGAAAAACGGCGATCATAAACTCACTAAAAGGTGCGTTTTGGATCGGCGATTCTGCAAATCAGCGATTCTGGGAAGCATAAACGCACAGTCATTATTTTGTAAACGCGTTTAAATGGGGTCAACGTAGCATGCGCAGTGCAGACTCTGCACTGCACTTCTCTGGCTCCTCCAGGCATGAGCCAGAGAAGTGAGCATAAACAGTACACCGTGGAGCTGCGATTACGATGAGCGTTTACGATGAGCGTTTACGATGAGCGTTTCAAATAGCTCATTCTGCCTTCAAAATTGAGCATAAACGTACCCTTAGAATACAAAGCTGTTCTGAGCCAAAAGGGCATTAACTCTGTGTTAAAGTATTTTAGTTAACGTTCTTCTAGCTCCAAAACAGACGCATTATTCAAGGAAATAAAGAAGACGAAGCCGAATAATTTACCATTCAGGGGCTCGTTACACAAAGGTTTGCAATCCATTGCCAAATGGTAATGGCCAATCAAGATCCCCGTTGCATGTTCATTATTCTTAACAAGGCTGAGTATTAACCAATCAGGATTGTTATTTCAAATTTGCAATTGATCGCAAACCATTGCGTTACGGGGCCTAAGCTGATTAGATAAACACCTGACAGTGACTAGATCACCCTGCGTGGTCACTGTCAGGTGTTTATCTAATCAAATCAGCTCTCAGTTAAAATAAGAAAAAGGGGATTATGGGGGACCAGTGGTCACCGATTAGGCACGGTGTGCTATATAGAGGGCGCAAGTAGCTACAAGTAGTGCAGTCCCGCGCTTAAGACTTGTAAATGACAAACAGACGAAAAAAGTGGAAGAAGTGCTAAACTAATGCTTGATTACATACTTTCATGTAATAACCAACGGATCTCACGGCAGAGCCATCATCCGTCAAATTAGTTTGATCGTCAAATACTCCGCTAGACGGGTTGTCCGTTTCGGGCGATTTCCATGTTGCATCTCCGTGCCATAGTCTCTTAACTTGGATGTAAATGAATAGCCAATCCCCTGAAAATAAATGGTCAGAATGTGTGTTATCCAACGAAGACAAGCATATTTTGAGTATCATTTACTAAGTAAAGGAAATGGTCATCACCAGGCCCGTACGCAGGAATTGTTTAAGGGGGGGGGGGGGGTTAACATTTTAAAATCGGGCCGAAAATTTCGCAACGACTCGGCCAGCCGCTGAATAAAAAAAAAAAAAAAAAAAAAAAAAAGAATTACCAAAGGGGGGGGGGGGGTGGGTTTTCCTCCAAAATACACACATAACAAATATCAAAGGGGGGGGGGGGGGGGTTCAACCCCCCCTCCCCTGCTGTGTCCAGGGCCGCCTGATCCACCGTTCAATATTACTTTGACAAATCTTTGATAAATCATCTTTACGCTCTCAAACCTCCGGATCTATTGTTCTTCCTATAAGGCGCAATACTATAAGTGGAAACGAAGAACCTATAAAGGGCCTTGGCTGTGGAATGCTCTCCCTCGAGAAATTTGTAATAGCAGATCAGTTGAAGTGCTTGAAATGAATTTCAAAACGTATCGGTTTAATTCGGTATACAATTAATTGTTCTGTCATTGTACGTTCTATCTTACTTCTGTTCCTTTGTTTATAATGCAGATGCTTTTATGTGATTTATATTTCTTTTGTTTTTGTTTAACAATTGCACCTTTACTGATGTTTTCAAATGAAGTCATACGCCTTACAAATCATATGATATTTTCAAACGAAATTTCTTGCATCACAAAGATTAATTGAACAGCTTAAGTGGTATTGAATTCATTACCCCCAAAATAACTGTTAGAAAATAATGAAATTTTACCTCTTAATCCAGTAGCTAGTATTGCTGTAAAGAGAGTACCCAGTCCTACGAGTATAGCTGTTCTGAGTCGGATCAACAACGGGACTAACTGAAATCTGGCGGATCCAGCCATCCCGTTTTCCTTTACCCCCCAAAAAAGAAGAAAAAAAGATGTTTATAACTAATTTAATAATAATAATAATAACAATAATAATAGTAGTAATAATAATCATAATAATAATAATAATAATAATAATAATAATAATAATAATAATAATAATGATAATTAGTATAATAATAATAATGATAATAATAGTAATAATAATAATAATAATAATAATGATAATTAGTATAATAATAATGATGAAAATTATAATAATATCAATAATAATAATGCTAATAACACCGATGATAATAATAATATTAATAATGACAATAATAATAAATTCATATTGCATTATTCCTAGACAAATATAATTAACTGCGAATAACAATAATATAACAAGAATAAAAGCTGAAACAATAGCAAAAATGACATTAAGTACATAAATACCACACAATTATGAAATAGGTTCAATTTGTATCAATCAAGCACTACATTCAGATCGGTCTAAAGGAGTAATGGGTGGCAACTAATAAGAACAAGTGTATGGAAAGGTTTTTTGAAACAGTTGATGAGTTTTCGAAGATTATTGCAGATGTATAGTGACGATGCATATTGAGGGAGGAAGGTTGTTCCAAAGTTTGGGCGCAGCATTTACAAAAGCACGATCTCCAAGAGTATTGTTTATACATGCATCAACAATATTGAAATTCGTACAGGTAGCCTATGCAAATACATTTCGATAATATAAAACAAGATTAACTTGAATGTGAAATTTACGCCGTATTTACGTGAATATCACCAATAACATCGTGATATTAATTATACGCAAACCACACGGAGGATTAGACTTTACATACGTACAGACCGTTTTTGTATTGTCTCTACTTCTCAACAGCAAAACCATCAATAAAGAGCATACATTCCGACACTCTGCTTGTTCCGTTGAATAATGAAACAGTTGTTTAAACCTGGACAATCCCTATAAAATCGAACCGAAAAGCCACTTCCAACTTCCAAAGATTTGGACAACGATCAATGGATCAATGAATATTGATTCTCCATTCTCGTCAATCGAGACTAAAACGAAAGAAACAAATAGCCTAGCTATGGCAGACAGCTACGTACTAATCCAGCCAACAAAAATATATGAAATACATGTAGATATATACAAGTATAGGCATACTCTTAAAATATAATGCCAAAGCTCTGTCATTCAAAGTGAATTGACTGTTTGAATATTACCATAACTTAATCATAAAATGCTGATACTAAATGATCGCAACCATTCACTGCAGTCACTGCAGTTACTGCCCCAACAGTTGCTGCTTTCCAGATGACCGCCCTCCTTGTCATCAGAGGGTTGAAACCTCCTGTAGGTTCTAGAATGCTGTAACCATATAGCAGCATGATTTTTTTTTTTACTTGCACGTCACTATTTTACTGTATAAAGCAATTGTACACCCTTTTGTTGTCTGCACCTTCACCTGCTGTCACAACACATCCCATCCCAGTATAGCTTGGAAAAGCTGCTTCAGGGATTACCTCATCAAGTATCAAGCAACATTCCAACAATTTGAAACGAGATAGTGATTTAAACAATGAAAGTGATTTTGATGATCATATTAACTAGCACCTGTATAATGTATTCACCAAATGTCTTGTTGAAATTGCTGCTATTGTTGTTTTGAACTTGTTGTTGTTGCAGTTCCTTTTTGGAAGGGTATTATTTTCCCTGTTGGTAGTAATCTGCCTAACAAATGAAAACAGTTGATATCTTCCCCGATACCTGCAGCTTACGATGTAAACACTAATAACATGCCAGCGCCAGTTAAAAATGTTACATGGACAATGTAGACATGCGCGCACCACAACATTTTACATGCGTGGGACTACCGTTGCCAGTGCTCGCCCAGAACTCATTATTTCGCTAAGTGATTTGCACAACTCATGATCAAGTGAGCACGGAAACTCGTGATATAGTTTTGAAAGCTTGCAGAAGGTGAGAAAATTAAAAACTATGTAGAATATAGTCCCCTAGGTGTCTTATACCCCATCGAGTGTGTCACTGTTTTAATTCACTGTTCAATCAAGCAGTTTTCTTACTTCAGTCCCGTGTGTAGGTTTTTATGTGGGATTATGAAGGCTCTCATGTAAATTGCACTCGAGCTCGTAGTAGTCGTAGACTCGTAGATGTACAAGATTATTATATTAGATTAGACGTCTATAGTTGTATACTTGAAGAAGAAGAAGGAGGAGGAGAAGAAGAAGAAGAAATATTCAAGGCTAGATATAAGAAAATACTTTTTTTAGCAATAGGTCTAGAGTGGTGGAACTGTGGAATGGTCTCCCAGAAAACGTTGTGGCAGTGCGCTGGGTCGGTAAACTCGTTTAAGAATAGACTTGATAGTCACATTCAAAGAATGTAAGCCTTTTGTATGAGCCGGTCTAGGTGTTGTCTATTGTCTCATGTTAATTACACAACCTCCTCCCTCCACAAATATCAGTGATCATGGATGAATCCTGGATCGATGAACGGGCTTAGACCTACAACGTCGTATATTAAAGTAAAGTAAGTAAGTAAAGAAGAAGAAGAAGAAGAAGAAGAAGAAGAAGAAGAAGAAGAAGAAGAAGAAGAAGAAGAAGAAGAAGAAGAAGAAGAAGAAGAAGAAGAAGAAGAAGAAGAAGAAGAAGAAGAAGAAGAAGAAGAAGAAGAAGAAGAAGAAGAAGAAGAAGAAGAAGAAGAAGAAGAAGAAGAAGAAGAAGAAGAAGAAGAAGAAGAAGAAGAAGAAGAAGGAGGAGGAGGAGGAGGAGGAGGAGGAGGAGGAGGAGGAGAAGGGAAATTCCCCTTCTTCTGGGGAATAAGAGAAGAGGAAGAAGAAGGTATAAGAAAGAGGGAATGAAGAAAGATGATCATGATTAGATGAATTGATGAAGGAGAAGGAGTAGGATGAAGTGGAGGAGGGTGATGGGGTGGAGAAAAAGTGGAGAAGATGAAAGAGAGTCTAAGCTAAGGAAGAGGAGAAAGGAGCTAGAGGAAAAAGGAGGAAGAGGAGGAGAAGAAGATTGATGGGTTTATTATTCTGCATAAGCTTGCCCATTTGTGTACAGTTGTGAGTGGAAGTAGAATGAAGATTCCTTAATCTTCAAGAATACATATATATATATATATATGTGACAAAATTTTATCTTGGTAATGTATAGAGTGAATAGGTGCTTTCCTTTTTCTTCATGATCATTAAACGAAAAAATTCCATGGTTTCTTATTGACACCTTTTTTCATGTTTAAATTACTCTTGTTTCAGAGCCCATCCTATGATTCATGAAGAAGACTTGAAATCATTTGACCATGTACCTAATATCACATCTAGGAATGAGATTACCTATGATCTCGGCCCAGGTAAGTCAATCAAATAGATACAAGTTAATATTAATTTCTTCATGGAGAATGAAATTAAGGAACAAGTCACTCGGTGTTAACAGGACCATATTTTTCATGGTAACTTGCTTTAAAACACCATAAATAAAGTCATACATGGGGAGATGTGAATTCATGGAATCTAAAACAAATTATCTGAAGCCTGAAGTAAGTACAAACTACTTATATTAACTTGAGTAGTCTCTTTGTAATATTAGCTTTCTTTGATCATGATAGACAACACAAAACACCAGATTGTCTGTATAATGTAATTTGATGAATTCAAGAGGGCGAGAACACTGGCTGATATTTATAGGGGATGGGCAAAGGAATTTGTTATAGGTAACCATCCATTCCATCTCCAGCCTGGCAATCAAATATTTGAAAAAGACTTTGGACAAAATTGACTAATGTCTTACTCTTATCATTACGGTAGGTGTATTTTCAACTCTGTTAACGTTGTATGTGAAAGTACTTAACAATTTTATGTTATTCCTCCATCTAGGCATCTCATTCAACACCTTTGGGTGGTGTTCTGTATGCGAGGTTAGTTCATCCATGTAGTCAATGTCATGTGAGAAGAAAGGAGATGTCTTTGAAGATTCCTAACAGGACAATGAGCCAATGCAGGGTAACAAGCAGAACTGTTCTGTCACCTACCCTACAAACTCACAGCGTAAACCTTCATCACGGACACGCCCCATTCTTTCGGGTGAATGCCAATCAAAGACTCGGAGGCATCGGGTCGCAGTCGCCCATGAACTTCTTTCCAACGCGAACATCGACCCGCTCGTTTGGTGGAATCTCAGTGTCGGGAACAGAGAACGACGCAGGCATCTTTATCCCCACCCCTACAGAAAAATGCTATGAGCTGCTGGAGTACATTCATGACAATGCAGGGCTGCCCTGGTGGTTGACTATACTGGCCACAACCATTCTCCTCAGAGGGGTGGTCGTCTTTCCGTTTGCCGTGTGGCAGCAGAAGATACTCGCAAGGATTGAGAATGCTCAACCGATGATCAATGCGTACGTGGAGCAGATCAAACAGAAGCTAGCTTTACATGCCAAGGAGGAAGGATGGTCACAGAGACACATGGCAAAGGTCTTCAGTAATGAGGTAAGTACGTTATATTCTCTGTCTCCTTTTGAAGCCCGTCTGCACTAGTTTGGCCAGGAGGGCTTAGACCACCCAGCGTGGTCACTGACAGGTGGCTATCTCATCAACTCAGCTCTCAATTAACATAAGAAAAAGAGGATCATGGGGGACCAACGTGCATTGCTTAGGCATTGTTTTCTACATTGAGGGAGCAGGTAGCTACAAGTAGTGCAGTGGGGCTTTAATTCTTTCTTTTATTCCAGGGGGGAGAGCATTTCAGAGGTAAAAATTCTCCATAGTTTTGATGCCTTGTAAGAATCTTTAGATGGGTCAATCAAAGCGTTGTGCTCATCAATGTGATGTGCCCTGTTGCCCTCCATATGCAAATTTGGGGCTTCATAGTCACAATGAATTAAGCAGTGAGCTACTTGTACGTTTTCTCTTTCTATAATATGGAAGAACACACAATGACTCTATGGATGGATGTGTGGCATTCAGAAATGTGATAAGGACTTAATCCTCAATAATCATCTCCATCATCCATATTGAGTGAAAGACCATCAACACTACTGGGCCAGAAGGGATTAGACCACACAGCGAGGTCACTGACAGGTGGCTATCTCATTAACTCAGCTCTCAACTAACATAAGAAAAAGAGGATCATGGGAGACCTACAGGCACCGATTGGGGAAGTTTTCTATATAGAGGGAGCAAGTAGCTACAAGTAGGACAGTGTGGCTTTAATGGTGCGTTTAAAAAAAGGTACAGTACACATTTATACATTAATAATAATAATAATAATATTCCGCTTTTATATAGCGCCCAATACATTGATACAACAATGTGCCTAAGCGCTTTACAGATATATCATCACCCCTGTCATCGGATTCAGGCTTACCCGCACATAATGTATGCACATTCTCTACTCTCTGGGGAGCATTCCGGCCAGTCGCCATTTTACAATCGCACACTTGCTCATCCAACACCACATTAACTTTCGCATCCTACCAGGTACCCATTTAACACCTGGGTGGAGAGTGGCATATGAAGATTAACGTCTTGCCAAAGGACATTGGTTCCGCGGCGGGACTCGAAGCCCTTACCTTGCGATCTGCAGTCGGGTGACTTATCCACTAGACCACAACACCTCTACAGGTTTTTTTTCCTTCATATCTTCTTCTGAACCCAGGTCCGGATGCTGGTCAGTAACGTCCACTTTCGCGAACACTGTAGTTCACACAAGCTATCTTACCTACCCTTCTGGCAGGCTGGTGTGTGGACGTGTATGACGACATCTATTGGTCAGATGACTGGGAAATATCCAGAACTCTTCTCAACGGGTAATCTAATAAATCTAATGAAATTTGCAACTGATATTTACAATCAATTGCAACTCAACTTTCTTGCCCCACTAGTCTCCTAAATTTCCTAGGATTTTGTTAGGATTAAGTTTTAACAATTAATTTGAGTGAAATAGATCTAGCTTTCATTCTCCCCCTCTCTCTCCCTCTTACTAATGGGGGGTTGTAAGAAAGTTGAGTTGCGATCAATTGCAAATTTGCAATTAATCACAAGACTTACGCTTGATTTTGGGGATTTGCAATTGATTGCAACTTTCTTGCAACGTCCCATTAGTTATGTTCTATTTTGTCATCTAGCAATATCGATGTTTAACAGTTGTACTTCATATGTCTGATAAAAGCCTGGAATGAGCTTCATATTTGATTCAATAGGTGAGAACCAGATCTCCCTTATTCAGTGCTCTTCCTTTTGCAGAAATCACATATGTTGTCTAATTCCATGTTGTTTTATACCCTTTACCAACCAAAGCAATACTTTGTTTTTCTGAATCGTTACAATTGGGTTTTATTGATTTATGACTTAGAGAACCATTTTAATCGACGAATCTGACTTCAGTGCTGCCTTTGCTGGCCTAATTTTACAGATTTTAATTTTGTTCTTTTATAAATTTTATTTATTCACTTGAATGGAAAATGAGATTGAATTCCACTTTAAAATTCTAATTCGTAATACATTTATTATGATTTTTAATATTTCAATTTCTAGAGCTGGACATTGATGTTCTACCAGCTTTAGCCAGTGAGGGTTTCCTGTGGTTCTCTGACCTAATGCAGACTGATCTAACTCTAGCAGTTCTTCTTGGAGTCATTAATGTCACATTAGTTGAGGTACCTGTTACACTGTGTTTCATACCATGAAATAATTCAGTTTTAAGCCTGCTGCACATTATACGATCTTACTACCATCTCATTGGGGGAGAATTTTCAATAGCATTTAATACAACGTTTTGTGCCAGTTTTAAATTGATTTTCAGATGCGATATCGTGACCTTAAAAAACATTACATTATTTGTTAGGTATTTCTTCTGCTTTTAATTTTCAAATTTCACCTACATTAGATATGTGGCATTTCACTTCCATAGCAGTAGATTTAAAACGTCCTCCTAGTGAAATTTTGTGTATAGAAATCCTTGGCACTCAATGATATGTTTTTTGGAAAAGATACCTACTGAATAGTATATGTCTTCTTCTTTTTATTTATTTGTTGTTGTTCTGGTTGTCTTGTAACCTGATAGCTTTGGTCTTTGAGGAGAGGCCCCTTAACGAGAACACAGCACTATCTTCAGAACACCTTCAGGATTGTAGCCATCTGTTCTGTACCCGCTGCTGCTATGCTGCCATCGGTAAGAACCTTCTATTCAATCTTAAAGCCCCACTGCATTACTTCATAGCTACTTGCGCCCTCTATAACAAACAATGCCTAATCGGTGCCTGTTGGTCCAACATGATCCTCTTTTTCTTATGTCAATTTAGAGCTGATTTGATGAGATAACCACCTGTCAGTTACCTTGCAGGGAGGTCTAATCCCTCCTGACCAAAATAGTGCAGATATGCTTCAAAAGGAATTGTCATATAAAACAAGTTTGGGTCATGTTGTGTATCTAAAGAAATATTTATTAAAGTATGTGGGCCTTATGGATCAAAGAAGGTCACTTGCTTGGTGGCCTTTATTGAAATAAGTATTTATTCGAGATGCATGGCCCTACGTGTTATCAGTGTCTGTGATATGGTGTAATATCGAAGCCCTAAAAACATTGCGCTTCAAAATAATCAAGTGCTTCAAAAAAGTAAAAATCTTGGAGTGACCGTACTCATTTCCCAATGGACTGTAGTGCTTAATATAAGAAAACAGTAGGAAAACGTTTTTGAAGATTTGAATTCCAATCATAAATATCTTGACAATACAATATGCGATTGGCTTGTAAAAGTCATGGGATTCATTTCTGACCTAAAGGTTTATAATTATGATTGCAGCATGAGCTAAATCCAGGATTTTGTTTAGAATCAGAAACAAAGTTACCCAATACCTTTTAAGCATGTGGGCATGATGAATCAAAGAAGGTCACTTGCTTGTGGCCCTTTATTGAAATATGTAACAATAATCATTATTTGTACATGCTAAAAATTATGTAAAATGTAATTATGATCATCCATAAATTGTCTTGTTTCTCTTTTTAGGCGGTGAGTTTCTATTGGTTAATGTCAAGTCTATGTGGTCTAGGTCAGCTAGCGCTCTTGAGAAGTCCTTCCGTCAGACGGATGTTGGGAATTCCTCACGCTCCTAGCGAGATGAAAAGACCAATGGAAGAAATGAAAACAGCTCTCCAAGCTAGATATGCCAAGAGAACCTTCTAAAAGCACTAAGGGTATCTTATTCTGGGTTTGAACCATCTGCTGCCGGGGGTTACTCGAGTGTGGGTAAAAAAAAAATCCGATACAATTCACAGAGTATTTGGTATACATGTAGCGCCTGTTTTGCTTGCAGACTTAAAGAGAAGGTTGAGTTCTGGGAAGAGGTGAAAAATAATTTGTGAGCGTTATCATTCTTATTATGCAAGTGTGGAAGAACATCAAATAAGACATGTTCCCTGAAAAGCATGGCTCTTCAAATGCCTTTATATTCTTAATATGTCATGTAACATCGTAAAAATCCAGGGTAGTCCCATATACATCTTTCTGTGTAGAGTGTTTGTAACTTTACCAACACTTGGCCAAATTTCTTATCATTTTGATGATTCCAGAACCTTGCAATACACGCAAATTCTTATATGCTAGATGATCAACCTTTTCTGATTGATTCCACACCGTTTCTTTCACAATGCAATCGCATGACCAGAACTCAACTTCATCTTTAACTCTGATTCATTGACGATCAGCCATGCAATGAATATGATCAAACATCAGTAATTCTCAAGTTCGTTTTTTTCGGGACGCACTGTATAAAAAATACCAGTATGTTGTATTTTTGTTTCCATCTTGGCTTGTGAATGATGAACGGTAGGTGAGGGGAACATCAGTGGCGGATCCAGGGGGGGGGGGCCCGGGGGCCCTGGCCCCCCCCCCCCCCCTTGAGAAAAAAATCATGTAAAATCACGTGATTTTGACCTTTTTGGGGGGTTGGCCCCCCCCCCCCCCCTGGCGCTCAAGGGGGGGGGGGGGTGCAAATTGAAATTTTTTTGAGGATCAAAAAAAAAAAAATGTGCTCACATGCATTTGTATCTCTCAACAGGCGAGAGATACACTAATTTACCAAATATATCAATTAGTAGGCGGTTTCCCATCAACATTTTTATCATCATGTATTATTCAAAACATATTCTTTCACATGATTGGTAATAAGTGCTTCCATTTCATTTTTTGAAATTGGGGCATTTCCAATACTGGTCTTTACCTTTAAACGAGATGTAAACTGGAGAGCATCAACACATATTAGTTGCTAGAGTTACAGATCAAATCAAAGAAAAAGTAGATGGAAAAACTTCTTTGTGGAAAGTCATGTGTTATAGTTCGCAGGCAATATGTTATATTTCTTTTTCATAGAAGTATTACGCTTTGGGTTTCAAGAGGTAAATAGTGGCCACACTGATTTTGCTTGATTTCATGTTTAAAGCCCCAAATAAGGTAAATAGGATTTTTCTTAAAGAGAGAGTCTACATTGTACAATATACATACACGTTTACGATGAGGGAGTGAAAATCTTTCGACTTTCAAAGCCAAGCAATATGTTGATTATTTTCATCAGAATTATGGTATATGTTTTTTTATGAGCTGCGAAATAGGATATATGACCATGCTTATAAATGAAGGCTACCAAGCCATTATCAGATACTGTTCTTATTGTATGATAAAATTAAAGAAATATAATGAATACATTGAAATGTGCAGAGTTATAATTGCTCTTTGTGTTTTATAGTTGCGGTTTCTTTTAAAGGGATCGTTTAACAATGTTAAATCTGAGATGCATGGCCCTACGTGCTATAAGTGTCTGTGATATGGTGTAATAGTGAAGCCCTACAAAATTGCGATTCAAAATAATCAAGAAGTGCCTCAAAAAAGTAAAAATCTTTGAGTGATCGGTTTTACCATACTCGCTTCCCCCAATAGACTGTAGTGTTATGAAAACCGTTTGGCAAACGCAAAATTTGATTTCAATTTCAATTTTCAATCATGAATATCTTGATAATCAGACAGGCGATCGGCTTGTAAAAGTCATGGGGTTCCTGACTTACCTAAAGGTTTATAATTACGATTGCAGCACGAGCTAAATCCAGGATTTTGTTTCAGAATCTGAGACAAAGTTACCGGATTACTTTAATGGCTCCATGTGATATTGAGTGTTACATAATACAAACGAATGTAAATTTGATATTGGTTAAATGATGACGGTAAAGGTTCGTTTAGATATGACCAGCAAAACCGTTGTGTTAAAAAAAAAGATGACGACGTAAAGTGTAGTATGCACCTTAGTATGTATCTTTTAACACAGGGCTCAGTGAATACGTGCAGGACCTGTGTTACATGCAGTTGCCATTCAATAACACATAAAAAAACAGCAGCTTTTTTGTGGCGGTTCAATCTCGTCATATCTGAACGGGCCTTAAAAATCATGATGGAGATGGAGAGAAACCATTGAATAGAGAAAGAGGGGTGGGGGGGGGGGGTAGAGAGAAAAGAGAAGAGTAGGGAGTGAGAGAGAGAGAGAGAGAGAGAGAGAGAGGGAGGGAGGGGGGGGGGGGTTGGAGAGAAAAAGAGATGAGTACATAGAGAGAGAAGGGAGAAAAGAGAAGAGTAGTGAGAGAGGGGGTGGGGGGGGGGGGGCGTTAGACAGACAATAGATGAGTACAGAGAGAGAGAGAGAGAGAGAGAGAGAAGGGTAGAGAGAAAAGAGAAGAGTAGTGAGAGAGAGAGAGAGGGGTAGAGAGAAAAGAGAAGAATAGAGAAAGAGAGAGAGAGAGAGAGAGAGGAAAGAGATGAGTAGAGAGAGAGAGAGAGAGAAAAGAGATGAGTAGAGAGAGAGAGAGAGAGAGAGAGAGAGAGAGGAGTCTAAGGAGAATGAGGGAAGAGAGAGGAATAACCCTAGGGATAGGAGGAGATTGGGAGGTTGAGAGTGGATTAAGAATAGAGGAGGACGTATGTCCCATTTGCAGGCCAAAAAAAAAAGAAAAGGTTAAATTCTGGTTAAATTCCGCCAACTGCATTTGAAAGAGTACTAATTTAGAACTTCCCTCAAAACGAAAGGGCTTTAAAAGGGATTTTAGTGGGAAGATAAAGACCATTAGTTGTCAAATCGATTGCAATCACACAAGTAATAACCTGATTTTCAGACCCTTTTACCGTACACGTTGTGCTGCACAAAGGTTCAATCAGTTTAATTTTGGCCAATACAAGTAGTGGGTTTATAGATGTAGACATATCCTCATGTATCTGTTACAGCTCATTTTATGTATATTATTACCAAAGTAAAGAGAGAGAGAGAGAATATATAAATATATATATATATATATTATATATATATATATATATATATATATATATCTTCTCTGTCTGTCTCTCTCTCTCTATATTCTCTCTCTTCCTCTCTCTATCTTCTCTTTCTTCCTCTCTCTCTCTCTCTCTCTCTCTATCCCCCTCTCTCTATCTCTCTTCCCCTCTCCCCTCCCCTTCTCCCCTCTCCTTATCCCCTCCTCTCTCTCTCTCTCTAATTTTTTTTCTCTCCATGCCTTCCCTTTCCTCTCCTATTCCCCTTTTCTTTATTACTCTATTAGGCTTATCACCCCTCTCACTACCACCAGCTTCTCCATGTATCCCTTTATTTTGTACAAAACTGTGGAACGACTTGCACTCCTATTTTATGGTTGACAAAATATTCTTTCTCTAAGAAAGGCTAAGAAGCCCCCCCCCCCCCAGGCTATGTAGTTTCAAAATAGCCCAGGCTATAACGTAAAAGCCAAAGAATACATGAAATATTGTAATATGGACAAACTAGATATTGCTCATTGTTAATTTACCCATTGTATACTGGAACCTGGTGGTCCCTGTGCATAGCCTATGGGAATGAGAGAATTCAGTAGTCAAAGGGTTAAGGTAGTATTCCAAGATTATTATTGTTGTTTATTTTTTGGTTCTCACTCGTGGGAAAAGAGTGTAACTAACCTTTTGTTAACTTATAAAGGCCTATATCATGTAAGGGTCTTACATTGCAGATTTATGATAGAGAGTAATTTCGGGGATTTCCAAATGCAATTGTAAAAGGTTAAAACCAAAAATTAAATGTGTCAAATGAACGCTGATGATTTTTAGGTAGATCTACAATCACAGTGGGTTTTTTAAATGTCCATGATTAAATACTTGCATTAAAAAATGAAAACAACATCGGTTACTCTTTAAATTGTTCTTCAATACAAAGCCGTGAACGTAGACATGCTGTGCTTTATCATATGTAGCATTCCGTGAATCTGTCAAATATAAACTAACTTCGATAAACCACATCATCATTTACAATGTTGCGTATATACATGTAATTGTAAAACAAAATGCATGATTCTGGAAAGCATTCAGGAAAGCCGTGTACTTGTAATTAATGTTGTTTTCAGACATGACATATTGAATTAGTCACAAGCTAAATAATTGATATAAAGTCAGTAATTCAATTATAAAGACCCACTTAAATAAAAATCACCTCTTTCACCACTTGCAATGACAGTGACAAATAAAATATATACATATTTCAGTTATTGAGAAAAAAAAACTTGATTAATATAGACACAATGTAAGAAATAAATGATCATTTTAGTATATTATTCAAATGCTTGTAAACTATTCATAGACATGCTATTTCCATATTTTTCAATAATTACGATAAAATTATATGCTGTTGAGGAAATGACTACATCTGCGCCAAACATTCTCAACTATGAAAGAATATGGCCCCCTCCAAAATAATGTGAATGTTCAGATTATGATTTAAAACACAGTCGTTTACAGTAGTCACTAGGTTATTTATTTCCTAATGATCAATTTGAAAGCAAGGCACAATAAATAAATTACCAAGAGATTGGGGGGGGGGGGCGTCTTTTGAAAAGATCTAGGGGTTATTCACGGGTTGTCTATGATATAGATATTTATAATCGCTTGCGCAAATTCGTAGCATTTACGGCCTCCCAGTATATATCGGTACCATATATAGTGCGGTATGGTATGTAATCCCGTAGGATTTTTGTGCCAAAGTTGACTTGTTTGCTGTTTTGGCTTCAAAAGGGTCCCAATTGGCCAAAAATGATGGGGTTCAAATTTCCAGACCCCTCCTTCATTTCCTGGGGGTCCTAGACCGGGAGCCAGTGGGGGTGAACCTAGCTGGGAAGGAAACCAATTTTAATGTGCACAGGTGTAAAGATCGCATAGCTCCACATAAAAAATGACCGTCTGGCATGTTCTAAGTGGTGGGTGTGGCCATGGGGCGCCCCCACCAAAAAAGTGTCCCTTTTGACGACAAAATAGTATTATGTAAATTATATTTTAAGGAAACCTTGAACCACCATGAGTTTGGTGTCATATGAAAGAGAGTTAAATTATCTACATTTTGATACCGATTTCGAAGAATTTGGGATTAATAAACATCGCAAATTTAAGTAAAAAACATGATTTTTGTGATTTTTTTCGAAAAATTTAATTTTTATCAAAAAACATCATTTTCCATATATCAAAATTGGAGAATTGCAATTTTTCATAACTTTCCAGGAATTCGCTTATGTACAACGACAATATCCTGTGCGAGGGAGAGGTTTATATATCGTTTCAATAAAAAGTTATAGCAATCCAAAGTTATTGATTTGATTTCCACAAAAACAACATTTTTGCCCACATGAGTAATAACTGTATGCATGCATATACGTGCATTAGTGTATTAAGGACCTATTTGGTGTGTTTACATCAAGTTTTAAAGATAACTTTGAACTAAAACCTCTAATTACCATGTATTTGGTGTCAAAAGATGGATAATTAAAATACCTTCATTCTGATATCAATTGCAATGAGTGATGTAGTGTGTGAAATAGAAATTTTGAGCCAAAAAGGTGCTTTATTGTAGATATTCCTCTGATTTTTTGCGAATTTGTGAATGGCCCAGCCGAAGATACACTACGTGCATGTTTTGTTATATTAACATGATTTATTCACGTAATAGCGACTGAATCAATATTTTCATATTGGCATTACAGTTGAACTAGGTTAATGATATATGTTTGTTTTGCAAACGAGTATTCGTTTGTGCCACGTTTCTAAATGTACTATGGAATTTTATTTAAACTGTTCTGTATAAACGTTATGCTTTTTTAATGTAAATATGTTCATGTTTATTCAGAGCCCCATGGAAGACCACTACTTATTGGTGAATGGGCTACCCTGACAAAAGATTAGAAATAAATAAATATATAAATAAATAAATCATGTGCCATTTAAATAATGATGATGTCCACCGGTGTCCGCCTATAGAGGGCGCTCATTGTGTTTGCTCTACAATGTCTCACAAATTCAACGTTCTTGCTCAGTGTTTGAAATTGAGATTATTTTCCGTCTTTGTCGTCATAATTATTTCTTTAAAATGATGTCGTAGCTGGGAGCAGGAAAGGCTTGAGGGATGATATGAATGTTGACAAAGATTCAGAGCTCCTGATATATAGATTGTGGAAGGCTATTCCACAGCTTAGGTCCAGCGAAGAAGTAGGCTCTGGAGCTCTGGGGTGTATGGGTCTTCACTATCAGTTCGTCGACCTGACAGCTGCCTACGACACTGCTGTGAATCACTGTATACGTCTCGACAAGCTCTATACCATGTCAAAGGACTCCCATCTGACTAAGCTTATCCAAATGCTCCTGAAAAATAGACGCTTTTATGTTGAGCTCAACGGGAAGCGCAGCAGATGGAGGAGACAAAGGAATGGTCTACCTCAGGGCTGGTTCTTGCTCCTGTACTCTTTAATGTCTACACCAACGACCAAGCCAGTGTACCCAGGGACAAGAAGCTTTATCTGCTAATGACCTTGGCATAGCAGCCCAGAGTTCCCACATAGACAAGATAGAAGCCACTCCTTCATCAGCCCTAGGCAACCTGGCAGTCTACTACAACAACAACCATCTGAAGGCTCACACTGTCAAGACCCAGGTTAGCTTGTTCCATCTCCACAACCACAATGCTGGGAGGCAGCTGTCCCTGAAATAGAACGGTGTCTCATTGAAACACTGCGATAACCCTGTATACCTTGGAATCACTGTTAACCGAACCCTTTCATACAAACAGCATGTTCAAAAGGTGAAGGGTAAAGTCGGGACAAGGAACAACCTCCTACGCAAACTGGCAAACTGGTCTTGGGGTGCAAATTCCTTCACGCTGAGGTCAACTGCTCTTGCGTTGTGCTACTCTACAGCAGAATATGCCTGCCCTGTATGAGAAAGATCATCCAATGCAAAGAAAGTTGATGCCTCAAGCCCACGAATGTGTAAAACAGCTTGCACATCCTGGCCGCCATTGCTCCGTCTGATGTCCGCAGAACAGTTGCAAGTAGGACTGAACGCAGCAGACAAGTTGAGGACACCCGCCATCCCCTTTACTCCCATCAACCTGCCCCTATACCCGCCTGAAGTCAAGGGAGAGCTTCCTTCATACAGTCCAGCCACTGTCCCTTCATACAGTCCAGCCACTGTCACCACATCCTCATTCAACCAGAGTGATATTGTGGGAAGAGAAACACTGTGAAAACCATCACCATGAAAAGCTACCAATCCCGACCAAGGAACAGCTGCCACCTATAGCCACATAATGTGACTGGAAGACGTGGAAGTCCCTTAATAGGATTCGCACAGGGGTAAGGCGATGCAAATACAACATGCATACATAGGGGATACACTGATGACACAGACACAGACACCAACATCGAGTGTGGAACATCCGTGCAATCTATATCACACGTATTAAGATGCCCACTCCTAGATGACCAATGCTGTGGCCTGGAAGATCTAGTGGCAGCAAATGAGAAGGCTTCTCCAGTGTGCAAAAGCCTGGCAGAACATTTGAGATCAGATGATGGACTCGAAAGAAGAAGAATCAAGTGTTTTGAACATTAAAACTTCAAGTTTGAAGAAGATCCTCTGAATTGACAGACAGCCAGTAAAGATCTGATAAAACTGCATTGATGTGCACTCTCTTCTTTTTTAAACACACGAGCCTTGCAGTCATAAATACATTGACTCTGCCGTGAAAGTGCCGTGATTGTGAAAACAAAAATTTGAAGCAAGTCATAGATTATTAAAAGGGGAAAAGGTGAAACATCCGCAATGAAATTTTACAAATTATCATTGACCATATCAAATGCTCTCAAAGATCACTCAAACCCAGATACGGAGAAATGTCTCCTCAGCCTTCCGTACGTGGCGACGAACTTCTTCTTCTTCTGGAATGCATGCCTTGGAAAACCTAGCGGTTGATGAGAAAGGGAGGTCGAGAAGAAAAAAAAAGAAACAAATGTTAAAGAAACGGGATTGAAGCTGGGAGTATAAACACTTAAAGTATGACAAATTTAAGAAAAAAGCCATCTGGTCTGACTACATGATAGTCTACTATTTTGAAAGTTGTCTTGAAGATTTACACAGGATAAAGGTCACTAGATGATGAACAAAGCAAATTAAAGTGTTGCTCGTATAAACACAAAAGGAAAAGGTTAAATCAGAACTTTGTACTTATAAACTTATGAGATCTTTCAAAAATTTGAAAGGGCCGAGATCGGTATACCACATTTATTTTAGAAGTTAAATGGCATCATTTGTTTCAATATTGGTTGCACGAATCTTAAGTAATGCATCAAGGTGTTACATTTTTGGTGCCAGTGGCTATAATAACGTATTCAAAATTAAGAAACTTTTGCATGTCTGTAACAATTACCTTAGCGTTTGCAGTCCTGCTTTGGTTGCTTCTGAACTCTTTTCCAACAGGTTGACAAAGCTGTCTGGTCCATAGGTGGTGTAGAGGATGCTCAGAAACCTCAAAGAAGGAGTCGCTAGGATAGCTGTCGAGAAGAGATCAGCAACTTCACACGAGACCCTTGCTGTGCCCTTGTTATGTGGCTTGGTCTTGTCTGGGGGTGTGCTTGATATCCTCAAATCTGCTAGATTGGGCATGACTGGAATGATTCCTGTAGCACACGCGATGACCTTCTCTGGGACTGGTGAATGGATGAGGTGAAGTTCCTTCAAACGAGCAAGGGTATCAACCTTCGTCTGGAGATGATTGAGGGCTTTCTCTGTGACGTGATGCAGAGATATCATAAGTCTAGTCAGTTGTGGACAATGCTGTACTCCGTCTAGTATGCTGATTATGGAGGTGTCATCAGAGCAGGGGCTGCACCCAATGTCCAGGGTAGAAAGTGAAGGGAAGTGCTTGAGAATGTATCCAAGTTGTTCAATGTTCTCTGAATCCATACCAGTCTCCTGTAGAGCAAGGAACTCAAGGTTCTCCATCATTGGACACTCTTCCAAGGCGTCTAGGAAGTCAGGTCCTACTTCATTTCCTGACAACTTCAGGTAAGTCAGGTTAGATTGACAGGAAAGACCAGGTATGAGCTTGGCAAAGCACTTATCGCTTATGCCATTCATGCAGAGAGTCAATCTTTTCAGGCACGTAAAAGATGGATTTTTGAACATCTTGAACAACCTTTCCCAGTCTGCAGGATTGGCTTTGACCCCATTCAGAATGAGCTCTTCGACAAGACAGCGCTCCAAACCGTCAATGACAGGTCCTAACTTCCATTCGCTCATCTGCATCTGATTGACCTGTTCCCAAAGGGGCAACACCGCAAGGAAAGTATCATCAGGACGTTGTAGGAGGTACTTTGGCATTACTCTTCCTTTGGTTACTCCTTCTCTTAACTTCGCTCTTCTCTTTTCTTCCGTCAGGGGTTCCTCACTCTGTTTCTTTCTCCTTCGCCACTTCCTCTTCATTGAATCCGACACCTCGTTCTCCAAGCCAGGGAACGTGTCGAGGAATTCTCGAAACTGTGAACTAGAGTTCAGGTGCAGACGAATGAGCTCGAGCGACTTGATGGAGATTCCCCTGCCGTGCTGGAGAAAATACCCGAGTGACTTTGTGACGTAGCCAGAGATTCCGACAAGTCGGAGACGACTGCAGCCAGACATGAATGGAGCTAGTACATCATTTAGTTCACCTTTGCTCTGGCTTTCAAAGTTAAGCTGTAGACAAAACTCGATGAGTTTCTGGACACGGTTACACTCTGAGTAGCGCAACTTTCCATTAATGAAGAGTTTGATGTTTTCCTCTTCGGATTTCATGAGACTTACAACTTGGTTGATGATGGTACGAGCTGCCTCCTCATTCGTACCGCTTGCAAACATCAGGACATTTCCAAGATCCGTGGCACGTTGAAGGGTTCTGATATCCTCAACACACTTCTGGAAGAAACATCGCTTCTCCTTATTCCCGGTAGAAAGATGAGCAAGGTAACTGCCAGCAAGTTTCTCTTGAATTATCTTGAGGACGAAGGTAATGTTGTGCGAGTCAACCACTCCGTCTTCATTGTTTATCTCTAGATCTTGGTAGAGTGTTGGCCTATACTCTGCTTCTTCGTCTCGGACCAGGATACCAACCTTACAACCCATGGCAACGACTTCTCTTGCACCTGACTTACAGTCTTTGAAGTCTTTCAGGCTGAAGATCAGTTCATCTTCAACGGATCTGACGAAGCCCTGTAATGCTACCTTTCCAAGCTGAAGAATCAGGTCGTCTTCATCAATTTGACATGCTTGAAAGACTTCATCTCCAGTTTCCTCTGTCGCATCTAATTCAGTAGTATCCAATCTCCGAAGTCCGGACATCTGTTCTTTGGATTTCGGATGATACTTCAGGAGACACTTAACGAGCTTGTCGAAGAGTGAGCTAATCGTGTTCATATCTTTGAAGTCCTTTCCATCGGTCAGTTTTGTCAACTGGCAGAAGGCGCAACACATCAGAGGTAGGAAAGCCAATTCTGTTTTCAGATGGTTCTCTTCGAGGTAGGCAAGTAGTTTCTCTCCAAGTTCTGGCCGACTGTTGAAAATCTTCTTGACATATGCATCGATGTCTTGTGATGAAAACCCTGTGATCTGTAAGTGTCTGTATTCGTTGGTGAAGTGGCCTTCCAGTTTAATGAAGTCTCCCACTCTGCCAGGGCGAGTCGTGATCAAGATCTGAACAAAGGGTAGGTATTCTTTCCTCAACATCTTCACGATGTTCCCACAGTTCTTCTGATCCAACCCTTTGCCTTTGAACTCGTCATAGCCATCTAGCAGAACCACAACACGTTTCTGGTTCTTTTCAGCGAACTCTTCAATGAACTGCGGCGTGAAGTCTTTCTTAGGCAGTAGCTGGTCGACTACAGCAGCTCCAAAATTGCTTGTGTGGTCTAGTTTTCTCAGCTGCAAGAGGAAAACAGCTACAGCATCTTTCACGGGGCTTGTCCTACCCTCTGCCCAGTCACTTGACAGCTTCAACAAGAAAGTTGTCTTTCCGCTGCCTGTTCTACCTCTGGCTACAACTCGAGTAGATGATGTTGCTAGTGTCTCCTCGCACCCATCGATTTCATTGTCGTTTCCATCCGATGCTTTTACATCCTTGAACAAGTCATCTAAATTGAGTCGGTAATGAATTGGAAGATCTGGACTATCGATGTCCAAAAGAAGTTCCAGATTGGTGTAGACCCTGCTTAGATCAACTGTCACGATGTTTCCATTCTCTCCAGCCCAAGGGACCATGGGAACTCTGTTTCGTGTCTTGTAGTGATGTTTGAAGTGTTCTACCATTCGCGTCTCTTTGGCATCAAGGGCCGTTGGTGAGGCGGCGTCCGACTCGATTTCACTGGGAAAGAGAGCTACGTAAAAAAAAGTAAATGGTAGGGAAAACACAAAGTTGATGAAAGCAGAATCTTTCATGTTTTACTCCATCACCAACTCTCTCTTATTCAAAATAACATTAATAAACAGAACAAGTTATGGCGAATTTTTTTGATAACCCAAAACTCTGTATTTTTACTCTATAATCTAATTTCCCCCCAAAAAATATAATTCGTAATATTCAATGTCATATGCCATGCGTTGGTAACGATGTGTACATCTTTACACCTATCTCAAAACAAAAAAACTTTGAATTTCATAAACCTTCGATCTCCACAAAGTTCGCAGGGTGACGTCAGGGCTTTTGTTTTCTTTTTCTTTTTTTTACAAATGCGTTAATGCATTTTGCATTAACATAATTATAAGAGTCATCTTTACCAAAAAAAAAAGGCGGTGCTATTATAATTATAACCATCTAAATGTCAATAAGAACCGCGAAAGTATATTCATATTAAAGAGGCATACATTTTTCATAAATTATTTGAGCTATATCCCACCTTCAAATCGAGGGCCATATTTATCAGCCAGGTCCAAGCGCTGAACGCTCTGTAATCCCTGGACAAGTGTCTTCACCAGATCCTTGTTTCGAGTCATCTGACGCCATTGAAGCAGCATCTGGTACCCTCTTTCTCTTTGTTTCGGATAGTCCGACTCGAAGTTTTGAAGATTTGCTTCCGGTATGGCGAGTCTGCGCCCGATGTCCTTCCAGCTATGGCCTAGCTCCGAGGACAAGTCTAGGAGAAGGTTGACTAGCGCTTGCCGTTCCTCGTCCGTCCCCATAATGAGTTCGCCTGTTTTCCCAAAACAAACAAATCACATGTTTAAAAGTTTAGTACAGGTATAAAGGTGAGTTCTGGTAATGCGATTGCATTGTGAAAGAAAAGGTGTGGAATGGATCAGAAACAATTGATCATGTAGCATGCAAGTATTGGTGTGCACTGCAAGGTTCTGGAGTCATCAAAATCATAATAAATTTGGCCGAGTCTTGGTAAAGTAACAAGCACTGTACACAGAAAGCTATATATGGGACAACACACATGGTGTCGGGGCTAGCACTAATTTGATGTCCTTGTCTTTCTATGCTCATTACTCAGCCAGTATACATTTTTTTTTCCAAAATTGTTTGGCACATGTCATTTATTTGTAATCTTGAACATTCAGTGTAAGTTTCGTTTGATTCTGTGAGAATTATTATTATTATTTTTTTTTTTTTTACCAGAACTGGAGTTTATCTTTAACTATGCTAATGAGATTGTACAATCATTCTCAATAGTTGATCATGCGATAAATTTTGTTTAACAAGTAAAATGTACTCAAAATTGTTAAAACCTGAATGAAAAAAAAAACACCCGAAAAACAAAGCGAAAATGATTAGCTCACCTGTGCCACCCTCTGCCATAGAGAAGAGCTTGCATGTCACGAGGTCAGAGACGTCAATATTACGCTGCTGTTGAAGTTATGAGATCAACCAATCATCGTCTCGATCTCATCTGAGAATGAAAAGAAGAGGCAAATGTTAGGATGTTATATAGCCTCAATTATGAATCAGAATAGAAAAAGGAAGAGAGAGAGAGAGAGAGAGATGAGGAATGGGGAGGGTGTTGTGTGTAACTGAACGGAGAGGGTATGGGTGTGTAATGAGATAGGTTGCGCTTATTCTAAATAATTATGGCGTCTTAACATTATCTCAGTACTTCCCTATTTTTTGTTTGTTTTTCTTTCCATGATTGCATGCAGATTTTACAGCGAAATGTTTATCAATATGCTCAACACGTATCTTGTAAACATCTCAAGTTTATTTTCGGTAGTTCATCTGATTTTAAACTTTCTTTCGAAACAGTTTTCAAGAAAATTCTCAAACATGACGACATTCTGAGAAACATAAAACATTAGCCCAGGGTTTTCTTCAAAAATGATGACTAATACAAAGCAATACAAAACAAATCAGAGTTCACGTCTAGCTGTGAATCAGGGTTACACAGTTATTCCGTTTTTTTAAGCCTGTCAAATTTTATGGTCAATCCAGGGACCTATTGACTGATGTAAAGAGGGTTCAGATCTTAAGGGTATACGATGATGACAGTGCCAATCCGAAAAAAATATCACTTTGTGCGCAGTTGCCACTCATTTACACCTTTCAGAAAAATATTATTATCTTTATCCCAATTTAACAGTAATATTCCCGTATCAAATATCCATTGATCAAACGGAATTTGAAGTGTTTTGAATTTGAAATATTGTTATTATTGTTGAATCTTGTTCGAATAATACTTTCTTGTTGATAATGAATGGACCTTTGCTTCTTTAAAGTACAAACTGATTTATGGACGAATTATTTCTTTGAAAATTTGAATAAGGACGGTTGTTTTATCTTGGCGCTTTATCGGTTGCTTGTGATTCATAGATTAAATATTTATGTAAATAAAGTGATATACGTTAATGTCTGCAGGGGGTGGAATAGGCCATTTTCGTAATGCAATCAAATTTAATGCACAAATCTGTGTTAAGTGCCTCGTTACAAAATTATTTCATTCACCGAATTCGGTTAATTGTATATTAATAGTCAGAATGTGAATTGCTTACCTTACGTCCTGTTAGGTAGGACAAGCCATCAAATATGTTTGTCCTACTTTCTGACTTTTGGAATGCAACTATTCATAACAGGTAAACGAAATTACTATTCCCGTCGCACACGAGGCGTCCGTTTACTTGCGTTATTAGGGACTTTAAGATTCTGCACGACGAGAACGTGGACTGCTCTTTTAAGGCAATGTGACGTCACTGCCAGTGCCTTAAAAGGACGTCACATTGCCTTAAAGGGCAGTCCACGTTCTCGTCGTGCAGAATCTAAAAGTTCCTACTGCTAAATAAGCCTGTAAATGAATACAAATACTACCATCAATAAAATAAATATACTCCAAGAGCAATTTTGAATTCTTGTCTTATCGTAGCTTGTCTAACATTATAGGGGATACTATTTCATAGCTCAGGGGCAACATGCTAAAAACTCGGTGTACCATAGGACTTTGTTTTGACCACAGGTACAACATATAGTGCGTATCAAAAAACCTTACTTTGGTAGCTTCAAATTAAAAAGTTTGAACCTATGTGAAATTGAATCAAATATAATTGTAAAGGGTAACTAATACTCGTGGTCGAGTGGATATGTCACCGGACTGTGGATCACAAGGTCCGCAGTTCAAGTCCCACCGCGGCACTAATGTCCTTTGGCAAGACATTGATCTACATTTGCCACTCTCCACCCAGGTGTTAAAATGGGTACCCGGTAGGATGCGAAAGTTAATGTGGTTGGATTAGCAAATGGTGCTTGTAAAATGGCGACCGGCTGGAATACTCCCCAGGGAGTGGAACATGTGCATAAATTGTGTTGCGGGTAAGCCTGAATCCGATGACCGGAGTAATAATATGTTCCGCGCCTAGAAACAAAGTATTAGGCGCATTATAAATGTGAGCTATTATTATATTCACAACGGTGCTGCTACGGATGTCTGAGCAGCGGGATTAAACAAAAAGTATTGTCAATATCCTCTTATACCAAGTTTGGGCTGGAGCAATGAATTTGGGTCAAAAGCCGTTATGTTAGTGTCGTCGCATTCCCAACAATTTTTTTTTTTACTATTAGGCAGTTGAAAAGAAAAGGTGTCAATATAAAAAATGCTTATTACAAGCAACAATTTTTTTTCTTTCTTTCTCTTCGTTATGATGATAACAAACTTGACTTCATTCGCATCCCTTGTTTAAGGGAACCTTTCTCTTTGAGTGATACAAAATGGATAAAGTTAATTTGAGAAGTTATCTTTATACAGTGCGTCCAAGGAAAAACGAAACCGAGAATTATCGATGTTTTATCATAACTTTAGCACAACTTTAATTAATAAATGACACATATTTGTAAAGCTGAGATCCTTCTCTTTCATTTGATGCAACTCATATGATGCATATTCCACGCATAAGTGATTGAAAATAAATTGAAAAAAGGGTACCTAATAGTCATTCCTTGCCGGACGGTATTCGAATTTCAAATGCTTGCATCTCCATAATTTTATTAAACGAATTCGTTTTCACTGGCTGGCCGCTGTACCCACTCTAACAACAAAGACGAAAGACTTCATGCATGGCTAATCGTCAACGAAACGGATTTGTTTTTTGTCTCTTCGGCATGCAGGCAGCCAGGGAAAAACGAATTCGTTTGATAAAATTATGGAAATGCAAGCATTACTTTATACAAACAGAACTTTGTTATTCCTGGCTCATTCTTCCTGATTGAGGTGACATATGAAAGGGCAGAAAATGAACCTTTTGGAAATGTGATTTTCTCTTTGAAATTCAGATACCGTCCGCCAAATGACTTTTTAGTACCCTTTCTTCAAATAGTTTTTAATCATAAATTGAATGTAGCTTGATATTTCATGGTAATTTTTAGGGAAAAGCAATCCAAACAGATGTCTGAATTTTAGCGAAAATCGTTCGCTATTCCTGCTCTTTCATACTACTATTTTAAGCAGAAGTAGTTAATTTCTTCGGCACTCATGATAAATTCGTTTTAACAGTTGATTCCCCTCGATTGATTCTTTTGTTCGGTTTATTTGGAGGGATAGATGGAAGTGAACGCTCTCTTGCTTAACGATGTTGTATTATTATTCTTATTTGTTCATTTTCTCTACAATGCCCTTCGAATAGAGAACAGGTTAAGGCTTCCTGAACATTATTGTTAAGATATTTTTGGTTGCACCCTGTAGATTATGATGGTGTGTTTGAATATGTGTTTTCAAAAACAAGATCAAACACATGATAATAAGCTATTGGGTGCAAGCGAATAAGTATATGTATTCTATACTATTTCCACACTCATTATTATCTGAGCGGTCCACAACTTACAAGCTCTGCTTTTCAGTGGACCTCTTCATTTCCTCAAAATATAAATACAGTTAAAATTCATAATTAAATTTTTGTCTTCCTCAAATGTATAACTGTTAAGACTTATTTATTACAAATCTAACTATGTTTTGTATCATGGGTGTCGATCCGTAACTGATACCTATTCATCAGGGGGGGATGATCTATTCATTCATCCCCCCTGATGAATAGGTATTACGTACATGTTTTGTATACATTTTACATTGTGTGCGTTATCATGTACTCGCGAAAGGGCAGCCGAATGTGTAAGCGGTATAAGGTGTTGAAAGGGCATGCTTGAGAGTTGACACAATGGTGGATTGGAAAAACAAAACAAAAGAAGTTGGTGAATGCTATCCTAAACAGAATTATAATGATAATAATATGTGCTTATATAGCGCCTAACACTTATTGGTGAAGTCTCTAAGCGCTCTACAATAATGCAGCATAATTACCCTACAAGGCCTGCATTGCTTTAGCAGAGCAGCTGTCACGCGCGCACTGCGTTTCAAGGAATAAATTCCTGCAGGTCCCCATTTACTTCACCTGGGTGGAGTGCAGCACAATGTGGATGAATTTCTTGCTGAAGGAAATCAACGTCCTGGAGTGGAATTCGAACTCATGACCTTATGATTGAAAGACGAGAGTCAGAACCACTATGGCGCTTCCAGATCGCGTGCACCTACATGTCCAATAATAAATACATATACATCTACATCTACACATATGCATTCCAGCCAGATTCCTACACAATGTACAAAATGAAAATGTCCATTTCAATACTAGCTCATTCTTTATGCTTGAGCTCTGCAAATCATATGCATTTCTCATACTTCTATCACACACAAATAAAACTACTGAATGTTCAATGTCAATTAAATAAAACTCACTTCCTAGGCAATAACCTGGCGCCACAAGTATATAATTCGTCTCACGAAAACTCCTCTGATGACTTCCTGTTGGTAGAGGGTAGTTCCTCAATCTTACCTTTCAATTTGACGTCATAGAAATGAATATGTATAAGCACGCGGAAGCAACACAGGTAGTCTTGGTTCAAGTAAAAATATTAACAGGTCAGTACAGATGGAGGAGTGCAGGGGCGCTCCGGTCTAATTAGAAGCTGGGTTCAAGCATGCGAGAGGGGGGGGGGGGGGGTGGAGGGGGAAGGGGTAACACGCACACGTGCCTAATTTCTGTCGGAAAGAGAAAGTAAGAAGAAGAAAGAGGAAAAGCCGGAAGAGAGAGGAAGAACTAAAGAGAAAGGGAATAGAAAAGGAAAGACAAAAATGGAAGAAAGAAAAGGGGGGGGGGATTACGACCCTCACCCCTACATACACATACACTCTCACGCCAAATTTCTGTCGGCAAATGCGCCATTTCTAAAGTACTAAGAAGAATTAAGAAAGAGGAAAAGCTGGAAGAGAGAGAAAGTGATTGAGAGCAACTTTTGCTTTAATTTCACCAAAAGCTCGCTCGCTACGCTCGCTCGTATTTAAAGTTGATATAATTATTTTTCTTGACCCTAAAAAGGCCGGGCTATTTGAGGTTTTAGTACGGCCGGGGGGGGGGGATTATGGCCCCCCTTAAGATCTCGGCCGCGAAGCGGCCGATCGCCGCAAAAATTTGCACGCATGTCAAGTGACGTGTATAGAATAATATGATAATTTCAATTTTTTGAAAAATTTACTCATTTGCATATTTTTTGGTAATTTATGCAAATAAAGTAAAAAAAAATTACATTTTTACCCGTAAATCATAAATTATTCACATTTAAGCATTCTATTTCACCACCTATATTCATTAGACCATTCTGAATAATAATACGACAAAAAAAATTGGAAGAGCCAGCTTATTCCTTATGTTATCCCTTGTTTTGATAATTTCTTATGTATTTCATTGTTTTTTAACTTTAACTTCGCTTTCAGGTTTCCCCTTTTTTCCCGGGAAGTGCCCTTTTTTGTTAGTGTCCCCGCCCCACTTTGAATTATGCTCCGCCGCCCCTGGCCTGTTAAAACACCTGAGCTTCCGAGGGCTCCGCCCCTGGACCCCAAGCCAATTTACGCTCCGCTCCCTTCCCTAGCTGCACTCGACCGTTCTGCGGGGCCTGCTTATGAAAAGGGAAAAGGGGATCTTTTTTTTTAATGGCACGTTTCATAAGGAAAATGAACCCTTAATAGAAAGGAAAAGGGGCACATGTGTTAATAAAAGGTACGTTTATCTGGGTTAAAAGGGGTAACTCTAAAAAGTAGAGGGGGCACTTATCAAAAATGAAAAGGGACACTTCTCGTATCTGAAAAGGGGCACTAATTAGAGATTAAAAAGTGTACTTATGAGAATGGAAAATTGACATTATTGCAAAGAAAAAAGGAATTTGTTCAAGGGAAAGGACTTGGAGTTCTTGTCAAAAGTAAAGGGGCACTTATCAGAGGTGAAAAGATGAAAGGACACTTTTACAAAAGGAACAGGGGCACTTTTCCTTTGAAACCATGCCCCTCCCCCGGGAGTGTACCTTCCTCACGTCATTAAGTGATCCCCTAGACTAACAACAGATCTACACCACTGATCATGATAATAGCAACAACTCTACCTGATTTTGTCAACCAACTATAATTATTATAGTTAAAGACAATGTTTATGCTCAAGGTGGTTTATAAACAAAGGCAATTCACGCTAGCGATCCAATATGTTTTCTTGTGCCTTATAGTTACCTTCCATGTTATTAAATGCTGGGTGGACTGATGGATATAAGTAGCGTCTGAGATTCGAACCACTGAAAGGCCGGTGACTCAACAACAAAACCACAGCAGCTTCATTCCAGAAAATCTTGCTATCAACGATAATTTCCTTTCTTTTATGGTGGCCCCAATATTGGAGGGTTTTTTTGTATGTAAATTAAATATGTTGGGGAAAGTGTGATACTTCCCATCCAAATGGTATAAGTTTCTCCCACCTCAAGTTATGTCATTTACTTAACTGCCTACAAGTGATTTTTATTATATTAAATTATGTATAACATAATTTATACACATGTATTACAAATTTCTAAAAAGGTGAAACGCAAAATAAAACAATGACAAGGAAAAGCACATTGCATTTAAATGGAAAGAACATTACGTACCACTTACATACCGAATCTGAATTTCAGCCTGATGATGTAACCAGAGAGTATATATAGTTTAATTCGGAGACATATTCTCTTGTAATTTTGAGGTCGAAGGTGGAGTAGACACTTCTAAACAAGTCCATTTTATTGAAATGCTATGTGTTTTTCTTATTAATAAGAATTCGTTACCTGTTTGATTTTTCGTTCTTTTATGATGTCCCCAGTCTCATTCCGTGAGTGTCGGAATTATATATTTTTGTTATTTACAGTGCGACGGTCCCAGAAAAAAAAAAGTTGAACCCTTAATCCAATATTGACTGTGAACGGAATGTGAGCTTTATAGAAAAGATTCCTTGCTTTTCACAAAGTAAAAGTGATATGCTTTCAAATAATGCATTGATGACATTAATCCATACACGCGTCTTAATTTGAAAATGACATGTCGAAACCCACTTGTGGCATTTTTGTAAAACTGTTAAAATTAAACTAAACAAAAAGTGAGGATATTGTTCTTATGTTTCTTTTTTAAAATTTTGTTATAGTTTGTTTGTTATTTTTAATAATGAAGGCAAAATTAATGTACCAGACGGTTAGGCCTAAAAAATGAGGAGATGTTGTATTGGGATTGTATTGCCCTTTAGGTGCCAAAACATGGGTCGGTCGGTTGGATTTTTTTCCTTTTGTTTTTTTCCTTCTCCTTCTTTGGGCTGATATTTCTCAGTTTTGAATGCTTTAATATCTTCTTTCTCTAAGAAACGGTAAAAAAAAAAAAAAAAAAAAAAAAAGACGACCGTAGATTTCAAGATTTTTGGGTCGGTCGCAAAGGGCAATACAGCATCTTTTCTTTATGGGCCTTACGGACAGGCAGACAATGTCAGACTTACTCTGTGGTTCAATATAAAGACAAATACACGGAGAGAACTGACGGAGAAACAGACAAACATACAGAGATATACTGAGACAGAAAGGAAGAAAGAAGGAAATACAGACCGACAGAGTAAGTGAAAGGGAGAGGGTGAAAATTGGACTGTGGATATATCAACACTCAGGTACGAGAACAGGGATATACACAGAGAGAGAGAGAGAGAGAGAGAGAGAGAGAGAGAGAGAGAGAGAGAGAGAGAGAGAGAGAGAGAATGCGGTAGGGAAAGGAGAGGCAGGGAGAGTAGGAGAGAGAGGGGGTGGGAGAGCGAGATACAGAGAGAGAGGCAAATAGTCAAATACTAAACAAATACTAAACTCACTCATGTCAAAAGAATTCATAATGCTCAATGTCACCAGCTTATGCGATAATTAATCTTTCCAAGATGCACACAAACTCTCATCAAAACATCTCATGAAACAAAGGCATCCAAAATCAAAGTTCGGTCAAACTTGAAGGTGTATAGCCATACACTGTAATTAGGATGAAGTTATTCAAAAGGTAAAGACATATCGCAGACTTTTACAAACATTTATTGTCCAACTTCCTGCCGCATAAGAAATGAGAGAAAAATTGAAAAAAGTAATATCACAATATAACATCTAACAATTTGTTCAGTGTACAATAAATATCGTTCAACTTATGAAAATAACCTGCAGTTTTTTGTCAATGCATAATATTTGTATGATTTTAAGTAAATATAGTATTTCTGCTTTTTTAAAAATTATTTGTCTGTAAAATGTTAAAGGTAATACAAAGTTTTGGGAAATTTTGATAATTGGGTGGATAGTGGTTTCTTTACAATTTAATATATTTGGATGCCCCTGTGGTTGTATTATAAGCACTAGAAAATTTAGCCCCTAAAACACTACTGCTTTCGAGAAAAATTGAATATAAAAATTTACCGGTGCTCCCTGTAAATTTTGATAAATTTCAAATAGCGCCTACGGTCGTACAATGGTAGCTGCGACCATGAAAATTTCAGAATATGTAGTTGTGATATATAATTTCCAAACGGGAATAGCTAATCGGTTGAGTTTAGTCAAGAAACATTGTTGTATAGCTTAATTAATATCGTGACCTTGAGAGGGAGCTATATAACATAAAGAGTTTATTATTTACAATTTCATAACTTTAGACCCGATTTCAACCGCGACAACGATCAATGAATATTGTAGGATCGCATATGCTTCCAATATATTCATTTGAACCAAATTCATGACCCCATACCAAAACTTTGTATTACCTTTAAGTATTAATCTGTCACTCTACAGACAGCAATTATTTTCTCTCCAACGGTACTTTCTATCCATTAAACAGTACACACAAAAATAAAAATGTATTTAAATAAGTTTGAATATTGGATATCCATCAAAAAGTGATTGATCATATATTTAACCATAAGTCATTGTTTCACGAGGTCAAATTTAAACATGGCCCCTGTTTCGATTTGACCCTTTCAATCATTAAAAATGGATTAGACCACCCAGCGAGATCACTGACAGGTGGATATCTCATCAACTCTCAATTGATATAAGAAAAAGAGGGTCATGGGGAACCGGTCAACAGGCACCGATTGGGGAAGTTTTCTATATAGAGGGGGCAAGTATATAGCCACAAGTAGTACAGTGGTGCTTTGAAGGAGGAAACCATACAGATAAAGTGATGACATTCCTTCAGCCTATACATTATTATAAGCCATTGGTGACGTTAAAGATCGGTTGAGAAGAAGTCTTCATTCATCAGAGATAGCCGAAAGACTGGTTCCAACTGCATCATCTAGAGAGAGAAAGAGAGAGAGAGAGAGAGAGAGAGAGGGACACATAAACACTGACAAATTACAACGACACATAGATACAAACTGTATAGCGACAGATTATACTGATAGGAAAAATGAGGGAGGGAGGGGGAGCGATAGAGAGGGGGTAGAGAGAGAGAGAGAGAA